ATACTACATGGCATACTACATGGCATACTACATGGTATACTACATGGCATACTACATGGCATACTACATGGCATACTACATGGTATACTACATGGTATACTATATATAAGTTAGTGTTCTTTGATCGATTTCACTTATCGCAATATTACGATTTTGCAGTAAGTGTTGCTTACAAATATTGGGTCGTCATTAGTAGATTCATGGTTATATACTGTACGACTTGATGATAATATAGTACAAATAATGGCATTCAATCCATAAAATTATTAAGCCAACAATTAGTTGTTGCTGAGAGATAAATGGCCTTATTATTGGCATAGATTCAATTGTAGATAAAATGTATGAAATTATAAGTTAATAGAATGATAGAGCATAATTAAATGTAAACTTGTTTGTAATGGTCGATCGTGTTGCTGTTCAAAAGGGATCGTGTTGCTGTTCAAAGGCCAGAGGGGATTGTTGGTAGAGCTCGAGGAAGAAAAGTATATATAATCAACAATATAATTTAATACCAAATTTACGAATAAAAACGATCAGTTCTGTTCATAGCATTTTATTATCAATATTTCAGTCCTGTTTGTTGCTAGGCGACATACACCTGTAGAGTGGTATGTTGTTACCTGCTGCTAAAACAACTCTGATTGGTTGCGCTATCTCATTATTATTCTCATCGCTACCATCGCGTCGAGACTTTACCAGAAGCGTCTTGCAAAATCTTTACTGCACCCAAAAATGGTTTACGAAAAAGGTAGTCTGCGCAGTAATATCAGAGTAATGAAGACACGATACTTTTAGTCGCGTTCTAAACGACCTCTTGTTTAAACTGCTTGTTCATTGCATGTGAATTTTAGCGAGAACTGAGCAGTCGAGAGAAAAGCAATTAACTGAACTTGGCGTCTAATATGCTGTTGCGATAAATTAATTCGCTATCCTGCTTGGAGATAAACTGTTCCATCAAACGTTGATACAATGAATTCGAACCCGTTGAATAGATGATGATCTAACCCTAACCTAGCAGCGACTCGTGTCTTCAGTTCTCGCGATGTTGAACACCAATTGATAGCTATTTATCGTGCCGTATACAATGGGTTCTTGCTGTAGTGCAAAACAGGCGGGCAGTTTCGAACCTGATGGTGAAGATAGAATGCAAGACGTTGATGTTGACTGGCCAGCAGTGGATGTGAGAGATACTGTGAACACACCTTATCTTCTTCCTGACGTACGAACAAATAATGGTAAAGTAACTCTCGATTTGACCTCATGCAAGTTACGAGATTTTCCTTTAGAAATCCTGGAAATCCCACAACTACAAACCTTAATTCTCAACTCAAACAATATCACTAACTTTCCGTACAAGATCTTTACCTTACGGAACTTAACAGAGCTGTATTTAAGGAATAATGACCTTGATTTCTTGCCTGCACAAATCTGCACGCTAGTCCAACTGAAAGTTTTGGATGTGAGCTGCAACAAAATTCGATCTTTGCCTTATAGCTCGAGTCATTTGTACAACCTACGTTCACTTAGCCTAAAATACAACAGCTTAAATAATCTGCCCAACAGTTTGTACTACCTTATTAAATTAGAATATCTTAATCTGGAGGGTAATAATCTACATGCTATACCAGAAGTCATCATGAAGCTCAAGAACATAGAAATATTGATTCTAAGTGATAATTCTATTGATAGCCTACCAGTTGGCTTGAACCAGTTGAATACTCTTAAAAAACTATACTTGGATGACAACCAGTTGAAAGAAATACCCAAATCTCTGCAACCCTACCTACTGGACTTAGAAACCTTGGATCTGAGTAATAACTCAGCTGAGATATCGCTAGAAAACAAGATTACTACATATAGAGAAAAAGAAAAAAAGACCAAAGTACAGCCTAGTAAAGGCGAGAAAATCAACGGGAATCCATCCAATATCATTGCAATAGATAAAACTGCAGTCTTTTCAGATATAAATCTGGATGAAAGCGACAGAGAAGACAATAGAGAAATGTTCAAAGGAGAGAGGAGTTACGAGTATTTGAAATCATTTGATGCTGAACCAGATGCAATAGAACGCATGCGTAGAGGAGCCAGCACTGCAAAGTTGAGGACACAAGAGGCTCTAAGACCTTCTCCAAAGTGGGGAATACTTGTGCGAGAGCTACGAAAGGCGGGCTTCTTACCAAAAGTGAACGTAAAAGTTCCAAAACTGCGCAAAGAAAAGAAAAAGACCAAATCGAGAAAAAATCCATCACAAATAACTTGGCGAGGATGGAGAGTAGACGTACCTAGAAGACCCGTAATAACAAATGTTGATGAGAATAAAGATGATAAGGCAGGAGAACTGGATAGATACGGTCATCCCACAGCAATCACCAGGCTCTTTCCTCCAGTAGAGGTGCTAGAAGGTGTTATAACACTGGATATGACTTTACACAAACTACAACATTTCCCAGTCAAACTATGCCAGCTAAGAAACCTGGATATCCTCATGTTGGACTATAACAAGATTCACGACGTACCACAGGCAATACGAAACCTAAGTAGGTTAAAGGCTTTACATCTTACTAGTAATGAACTGGAAACTCTGCCTGAGAACCTGAGATACCTGAATGAACACCTCAARATCTTGTACCTGAAAGACAACAAACTCAAAGTGCTGCCTGACTGGATCATTAGTTTTCTCTCACTTCGATTTCTATCGTTAGAGAACAATAAGTTGATTTGTTTTCCAGGTGAATTATGTTCTTTGCTTTCCCTGGAATCTCTCGTCCTCACTGGAAATCGACTTGTTGAACTTCCACAAGAAATAAGAAGACTTCGAAAGCTTAAAGAACTGTATCTGGGAAGAAACAGATTAACGCACCTTCCTTACAGCATCACGGAGCTAAAATCTCTTAAGGTAATGAGTCTAGAAGAAAATGGATTGGAGTCGATACCATATTCAGTATTCGGTGTCCAGAGTCTATCTACATTACATTTGCAAGGGAACAGCATTCATTCCATTCCTACAGATATCAGTGCATTAAAAAACCTACTGGAATTGAACATCAGTAAGAACGACATTACAGAATTACCCTATGGATTTCGTCAGCTGGAAAATCTGCAAGTTCTGTCTTTACGAGCCAACAAGATCGAGAACTTCCCAGAAGATCTTTGCAAGCTACCAAACCTACGGACGCTAGATATCAGTCTCAATAGAATATCATTCCTTCCTGATTACGTTCGTTACAGTGTCAGTGAAATGGAAGAAATACTGGAGCTGGACCTTTCCTTCAACCGTCTAACCTCACTCCCCAAATCTATAGGAAAACTGTTCAAGCTACAGACTTTCCATATTGAAGGAAATCCCTTAGCTGGACTTCCAGACACGTTAGTACAACTTGTCAACCTTCAAAAACTATACTTAGACAAAGTTATAAAGATACCAATTGGAATTTACAAATTAAAACATCTGGAAATTCATTAGTATAGCGGTCTTGTTCCTGTGAATGAAGAATGTTACAGTGCCCGGCGTTACCTTGGCAACCAAGGTCTGCAGCATAAATAACTAAACTAAAACTTCTAGACAGAATCTAGTATGGGGAATTAAAACCCGCTGGATTAGATTTGTTGACTAACTTCATTACTTGGTTTCTATGATCGTCCAGTTTAATTATAGATGAGGACCATTCTGGCACTTTCCTATCATTAGTAACCGCCAGCCTTATCAAGTAGCTAGATAAGTGAGAACGCTATGAATAACACCCTTCACATACTGAGGGTTCAACTTTGCTTCAGTCGAAATTAGGGCCAGGATTCGTTAATCCATTGTAATGATTGACTTTTACTGACTATGAAATATGTGTTTCGTTTTGATGATATTCAGGGCCTTCAATATGTTTCTAGCAAGGTCTTAAGCTTTTAACACTTGTTTTTGTTAGGAGATAACCATAAATGGAAAATTATCGATGCCTCGTGTAAAATATTAATAAGCCATTTTTAGTAAAGAAACTTCAGAAAATATATGTATATATTGTTTATTTTTTTCTTCAAAGATAGCGCAAGAAATGAATCATCGTTATTTTTGTTTCATTTTTTCATGGCTGATCGGCCAAGCAGGCGTTGTGTTGCGTAGTGTCTGTGTGGTTGAGCGATAGAGAGTGTCCTATGATGTCAAAACGGATGATAACAGTATGAATAAACATATCGATTTAATCAGCATCCATATATTTCCATCCATACTAGTGTGGAAAACATCGCACCCACCATACCACTGAGTGTTATGACGTCATATCACCTATAATAATAATTATTATTATTATTATAATGATAATGATAATGATAATGATAATGATAATGATAATGATAATAACAACAATAACAATAATAATAATAATGATAACAATAATAATACATAGATGCTTGTATGGTGCATTTTTAGCCTCAATGAGCCTTACATGAGTGACAGTCTAAATATATATACATACATTGCATAACTTATTCTACTGAAATATTTCTTAAATAAAAATGTCTTAAGTTTGGTTTTGAATCCTGCTACAGTTTCTTCTCTTTAGAATAGAGCGAGTTCCATAATTGGGGTTCTGAGTAGGAAAAAGCACGACCACCATATGTCTTGGATTTGATGGCTGGGATGCATAAGAGCGAGCGAGCTGACGATCGTAGTGGTATTCCTGTATGATAGACCTACGTACCGTATCCCGTTCGTCCCCTTGGATACAAAACCGTTTTCACTTCATAAAGAACATAACTATGATGATGACACTATTGATGATCATCATTTGAAAGAAACAACATTAAAATCATACATTTCTAGGTGACGTGAATTGGAAATGAACTGGGACAACCAACTGAAAAAATTTGACTTAACCTGAGGGATCAAGGATGTTGGTTTTTAAAACCTCGAATATTTGTCCCTATGGTATTTAGTTAAAGCAAAAGTAATTCACCACGTACCAAACTAGTCGCGTGAAAGTGGGAGTAACGTAACTAATCTCAACTGTCACGCTAGAGAGATTAAGAGTAATCCTAAGCGAAAGTAGTTATTTTTTCCTTTTATGCAAAAAATTAATGCTGTGGTTGATCAACGTGACAGACAATGGTCGTACTTGTTAATTGGGCACGCAATGTTGTAGGGTTGCTTGTTTTAATTCTATTTTGTCCCTTATGATTTCTCAGTTGCCGAAGTTCCTTCCATCCATTTCAGAGAGATATTATAGGCGGTACATCACACAAAATGATACAAGTGTCATTGATGTGGTAATATTTGCGCTGATGCCGCAAGCGGAAATGACAAAAGGCAACGGATGGGTTGATCTTGCTGAACATAGACACCAAAAGGAAACACAAAAACCGAGTTTTTACGAGCTGAACAAAAATGGTTTGAGAATAAACCAATTTTCCTCTTCCTCTGCGGCCTATGCGAGTTCCGCTAGAGTTCAAAACGTCTAACTGTTAATAGAATAGAATAGAATAGAATACCTTTATTTAAACACGATAAAATTTAAAGCTAAAAGCTTGTGGGGTCGTGCATAA